TAAGGGACCGGCTCCGGGGAGCCCAAATCCAACCCCAGTGCAGCAGCACAGTAGCAGAAACACGAATCCGACACCACACCGCGTTAAATGAGCGCTCCGAACACGGCAGGAAGAAGTAAAAGAACACCCCAGCCCTGCAGTGGCCCTGCTGCAGTGTCTCTCACAACAACCAGAGCACTCTCCACAAGGCAAAGTAATTCAACATTTTACCGAATAACGTTCTTAATGTTTTCCTTCTGTAGGACGTGGATGGTGTGGGGCATAAGTACCATCTGGAGCTGGTGTTAGAAGACGTCCTTGACAAAGTGAGTTCAGATCTATTTAATGAACGCGTTCTGTGGGCAGAAGCCGGCACTCCCAATCTGCGATAAACAGCCAGTGCTTTACGGTGCAGACCCTGGCTGAGGCCAGCGGACACACCAGGTCACAGTGCTTGGTATCGGGGCTCAGATTTTTTTCTATACTGCAAATCGGGCAAAGAAAAAGGCTCAATTTTAGCAAAAGGGAACCCCCCTTTCTGACACCATCAAAGCCCCGAACGCCGGCCCCCTGCCACTGTGACACAAGAAAATGCTCGAGGGGTGACAAGGACATTTCAGTACCCCTCCGTTTCAAATCGAAGTCACTGTCACCCATTGCTCTGAAAGGCACAAGCGACTTTCTGCATCACACACGCTGCCCTTTCTATCCCTGCCGAAGGAAAACTGCCCTTACACTATGTTCACAGAAATACCATGAATTCAGCCTTCTCTTAAATAATCACAAACCTCTATGGGCCAGACTCGGAGAAAATGGCAACTACATAAAGAAAAAAAATATATTTGGAAGTGCAAATTACCGAAATTATACAAGTATTTAATCATATATTAATATGCATAATTAACTCTGTAACAGGACAGTACTGTTAACTGCACTGCTGAGGTTCTTTATCATCTGGGCAAAAAAACCATTGCTCCAGATGTGGAATTCACAATTGAAGGAGAACTTAAGAACACAGATGAAGCAGATAACGCATTCTACAATCAAATCAAGAGCCTGGAAAAAGAGCTTGTGGCAGAAAACATACCAGGTACGAAGAAGGGGTTTGGGCGAGAAGGCAGGTTTGGAGACAATGCCCTGCGTGGCCAGACGCAAACCTGAGCTCGAGCGGTGGTGGTCCACGATCCATATGGGAGCCCCTACCACAGACACCAGGACCGAGGGGGATGAGGCCATCAGCCCTACTCTGTACGCACGCTACTTCACCTTCTCTCGTTCAGGGTGGTGTGACAATCGCAACACTACTAAATTTATTCCTCTCTTCTGAAATCCAGAACCGATACGCGATCTGCGTGCGACTGTTCTTGAAAACCCCTTGCTGCTGTTACCTCTGCCTTTACCAGCGTCCTGCTCGCTGCATGGCTGTTCTCAGTACTGTACGTCAGACTGTACTACTAGGTCCACTCCTACTTTTTAGAGCAACCCCTGCCTTGGAAGACCATATAGAAAATATGTTAAGAGAAAGAAGCGGGAGGAACACAGACGCAGTGGTGATGTAGCTGCTATTCCAAGATTACTTGGAAGGTCTCTGGCACAGCAAGGAACGTAATCGAGTAACTTTTAGCACCAAACCCTGCTATGAGGTGACAGGTTGTGTTAATGGCTGCAGCTCCATGAATGTTGCTTAATGTGTATTATTCATTTTGTTTGCCAGACAGCCACGGCAACGTGTCCCCAGAAATGGAGCCCATCCACCTGCTAGCATGGGTCGCCTCTGGCTATGTGATGTGGCAGAACTCAACTGAAAACACCAAGTTCCAACTTGCCCAAATTAAACATGTGAAGCAAGTGGTAAGTTACCATCAACGCCCTGCGAGAAAAATAGTATATGGGAGCTACGCAGCTGTGCATGTCCTGGATTACAGCTGAAGCTAAATTCTTAAGCGAGAAACCTCAACTGTGTCTGAACATCTTGGTTCGCTTCATTTATAAGCCAGTGTTTGCTTTTGCTCCACCTACCTATTACCTCTAGCAAATCATGAATGCTGGAGTGTTTATTTAGATCACTCCTTCTCTTCATAAATTTTGCTTATAGAAGCTGTGTCTTCTTGGCAAGAGCACTATTATACACTTAGTTAAGAAAACTGACTCTTCCACTTGGAGGTCACCGTGTTGATTGCAGTTTTATCTAACTTTCCTGCCTCTCATCTGTAGTGTAAGCCCAGCTGACAGTATTCTTGCATCTGCATAACACGCATTGTAATACTGTCTTTTATCTCTTGATCTACACCATTATCTTGCAATCAGTCACAGTAATGCTGCTTGACATCTCTGCGATAGCCATGTCTAGAGAAACAGCAATGGGCTGCACCTCAAATTCAATAAAACACAACCCGCTCTGCTTTTGTTTGCAGTATTCCAGTCTCCATCCATCTGCTAGATCACCTCAAAATGCTAATCAGGAAAGAAAATACTGATTTAATTCCACTCTCAGTATTAATTTTTTTGCTTTGTTCTTCCCAAACTTATTTGTAGTGGTTTTTTGGAGGGCGAGAGAGAATATCTTAAACCTAAGATTAATTTTTAGTTGAGGCATTCATATTGCACAAGTGCTCTTTTTTTTTTTAAATTGCCAAGTTAACAGTTCCTATAACACTTACTTTAGGGAAAGCTTTCCATCTGATCTGAAAAATTCTATCAACTGGAGCAGTGGTCCTAGACTTGTATCAGCACGATGAGCATCAATTAAGGTTATGATAAGAAAACTGAATTCAGGAAAATTTGTCACAAGGCAGAAAGGGAACAGAATACCTCAGGACAAAATATTTTCTATTTCTGAGTGATCACAAGTGCTGTGTTTATCCTGAGCAGATCTGGATCTGCCCTAAGCCAAGAAGTAAACATGACTGTCACATCTCGCTGCAGCTATTCAAATCGAGTCATTAGCCGCCATTAGCAACAGGCCTTGCAGACTTACTACCCAGAACAGGCTTAACTGATAAAGCAACTTGTTTTCAGAAAAGTTGTTACCAGAGCAAAGTTTTTTAGTTGCTTTTTGGGGTTTTGTTTTGTTTTTAATTAATCGAATTCTATAGATTCTCCCAGTTCTTCTCTGTTCTATTTAGAGAAACTATACTCTGGGTTAAGAATAACTCCTGAAGGGATGCTCGCCTTTAATTCAATAAGCTAGACCAGAGAAGCAGGGCTTCGTATTTAGAAAGCCCAATGCATCAGGATGCTTCAGAGCAGACTTTCAGAGCCCACACGCTTTGCCACTCCGCACCGCCAGTGAATTTCGGGGTACGAAGGAGAGGCAGCAGCTCATGCTGGGAGCACCGTTTGTTAGCATTTTGCTCCCTCTCACGGCAGCCTTGGAGCAATTCACTGATGCTGCTGGGCTGTGCACGAGCTAGATTTTAAACCCCTCTTTGACAAAACAGGTGAATTTAAGGATAAGGCAGACAGAAGGCTGTTAAACTAAACCAGCTGTCATCGCTCTCTAGTAATTTTGCACTTTTTCTTTTCACTGAAGAGCAGGTAAGTAAAGAGTGACATTCCAAAGGCCAGCGGGTGTTCAGTTGCTCACACAGTCACTGCTAACTTGCTATCCGCTATAAGGCCTCTGGAGTTCCCTCCCAGCCTCATCCTACTGACAATTTTATTTAGGATGATTTGGGCTAAATTGACACTTTATAGAACCAGGTGTTCCCCTCCCAACGAGTTCCTGAAGTTGAGATATATCTAGCTTCTTTAAGCGAGGAATTAGAACGGTTTTAAGTTTCGCAGTCTCTCAAGTGTAATTTTGGGAGTTCACAGAAATACAAAACAGTATCTTTTTGTTTTGTTATCATGACTAAGCTTCACCTGCTTGTTAACATGAGCTGCCAGTTTCATCTGAAATACATCAGAGAGTTTTTATGCTAACTAAAGAGATCTGATTCACTACTTTTCGTCTTGTCTTTCCGTCTTGTCTTTCCAGAAAAGAAGTGATGAGTATCTTGAATTTGACTACATGATTCTCCTTCACGAAATAGTGTCCCAGGTAAAGTCTTCTGATTTAAAAAACCCTTATTTTCTTTTTAGTATTAAGACTGCCAGCTGCGTAACCTCCAACGCAGACACGCAGATGGTGGGGCAGTCACAGATTGGATGCCTCCAGGTCAGTTAGCAAACAGGGTGAGGCGAGGGCTACAGTCACCTGTCTCAGCATTATGGCTTCTGCCCATACGCAGGCAGGAGACAACAGATCTCTAACTTGTGTCAGCAGAAAGCAATTTTCAGCTATTTCTGGGCCCTCCTTGGGAACGGCAGAGGTTCAGCATACTGGTCATTCACAGCTCTTTCCTCTTGGGAGATACTGTTGCCAAACTGGCCAGGGATGAAGGGAAGAAGCGGCTGCCAGCATCCTGGACCGTTAACGGCATTCCAGCTGGAGCAGCAGAGTGCTTCTACGCTACAGGACAGCACTGGTGGACCAGTACGCAAAAGGCATCGTCTACCGCAGTAGCTCGCACAAACAAGCAGCAGCAACCTTGGTTCCCAGAACAGTATTTACATGGTGTGCTATTCTCCATCATAATTTTGCGATCTGAGCAAGTGTTTTCATAAGAAAAATGCAGAAAATTTCAAAGAGTTTGATTGTGTGACCTCCTGTAATAAGTCATCCACTGGTAACAACAAGCTGAGAGCTCACTCCCACTTCCAGCTCCACTGCTCCCTACCCACTGCACTCTCAGTTAAGGCATCTACAGTGGTTTTAGTTCCTCAGTTTTCTATGAAGAAAAATTCCTGAGAAGTTGTAGCCAACTAACTGCAGAACAGAGCACAGATTCTTCCCTGTGCTCTGCCTGGTAAAGGGCTTGTGTCCCAAAATACCAACAGCACTCACAGTAAGAGGGGTAAGCCAACACAGACATGCCTGAGCTGCAAAACTTGCCGAGATGAAAGAAAAATGTAGTTGCAGCAGCATGGAGCACAACACAGGCTGAAAAGGGCTTGCAGGAGAGCTTCAGATACTAGAACAGCCGAGCTGGACTGCGTGTTATGGTGCTTCCCCTGCACTGCTACTGCTTCAGCCTGCTTGCAATCAGCCCAGGCATGGCTGTATTACAGCAGTCAAATCCCGCTCCGTATCGTTCACAGAAACTACCTTCTCACTTCCTACAGCTTTATTTTCTACCCGCAGGAGATCATTCCCTGGCAAATGACAGTTCTCTGGCACCCACAGCGTGGCGTTCAAGTAACACAGGACAGCCGTCAGCCCAAACACGCAGCGGAATAACGGACTGCCTGGCTCTGCAAGGGAAGAAGCTCAGACGCTACCGGAAGCATTTGAAGGAAGGGCAGATAATGAGGGCGGATATGCAATCAAGGTACAAAGGAGAAAGTCCTTCCTCAGTACATTGTGTTTTGATCTGATAATCCGAAAGGCACTTTTTCTGCCACATAATCAAATTCTGCATCAAAATAAATTTAAAAAACCCTCTGTTACCAGAAGGAATACTTACGGCACAGGTGCGGTGATGTTCTCCCTAAAGGCAACTTTTGGCTTTCCCATGATGCAAGGGCAACCGTATTCCCTTTCCATTCGCTGCAGGGAAAAAAGACAAACACGGAATTAAATACAGAGCTGTTCCACTGGAACAACACTTTGGAAATTATTTTATTTACAGATCTTTCTGAAATGAGAAACTTAATCAGGGTTAAGCAGTTTTTTTGGTTTGGTGTTGGACTGATTTTTGGGGTCTTGGTGGTTTGGGTTATTTTTTTTTTTTTTAAGTTAGAAATGGTTCACTGCAGCCAACCTTGTTTAAAGCATATAGCTTTAGATATGGGAAAAGGGAACAGCATTTATTATTTCACTCCAGTTTAAGTTTATCAAGACAAAAGCCATCTTGAGTCTGTCAACATTTCAGATACATCTATTGTGTTAGACTAAAATAAAGTATAGAATCAAAATGAAAGAAACAAATAAATCGCTGTAACTAACTATTCCCTCCTGCCTGCATCGTCTCTTATTATGGAGTGATACATTTTAAAACACAGAGTATTTCTCTCTGCTGTAGGAAATGTCTAATGGTAAAACTCATCATAAGCAAAGGCTGCTAAAGGAAAGCGTAGTGCTTAATACATTGTTCGTGGATTTGAACCAAAAAGTAAAAATATTCCAGGCAGTAGTTTCATTTAAATAGATTATGAGCCTTCAGAACAGAACCACTGGAGAGAAAGATTCAAAAGCTGACCAAGAAGTGAAGCCCTTCCCTAAGCAGCTAGCATTGCTCACACTGACGCCACGGGGCTTTCTGCTAGGGAGATCTCAAAACAGCTGTCGCACGATAACCCTGATCTACCCTGAAGCACGTGGAGTTCTGCACCTCCCAGCAGCCTGTAACCTTGACATCCGCTTAGGCACCCAGTTCCCAAACCAAGCTGCCATCAACTAGCCCATCTGCAGATAGATTTTGGTACAGCGATGCGATGTCTCAGCCAGAAAGGAAGCAGAATGTGGTTGGGGAAACAGTCAGAAGCAGAGTCCATGGCATCTGCTTCCCAAATTACCTGGGCGTAGATTTCCAAGTGCAGTTCCCCCATTCCCGAAACAATGGTCTCTTTGCTCTCATCATCAAAATGGATTCTGAAGGTGGGATCTTCCCTTGTAAAGCGGATCAGGCCTTTTGAAAATTTATCAAAGTCGTTCTGAAAAACAAGTACACACACCAGAACACATTAACAGCCAGAAGCCACACAACAAAAAGGCCTCATATTTTCCTATCAACTGCTTTGTGCTTCTACTCTCATGAGGTTATTTTCGTAAAAGCACAACCACACATTTGGAGCTGTATTTATCCCTCCAGTTGCTTCAAGTCCACATTTACCCAGGTCAAAGACACGCATCTTCTTTACGGCTAAGCGATACCGTCTAACACAGTCACATGCTGAGTGATCTGAACGATGTATTCTTAAGCACCTTGACAGAACATTTTAAAACACTGCTCATTTTAGTCTGTGGTTCCATATGTAACTGCTAACCCACATAAAATAATAAAAGCAGCAGAGGAAGGGTACCTCAGTCAGCAAGAAGTTGATTTGTAGGCTCCTACCTTGTTGGAAGGCTTCATGGCTACTGAAATGACAGGATCAGGGATGTGAATTGACTCCTGCAACGGCCATAAAGGAAGAGATCATACAACCAAGTTCCATGGCCCCGGGTGATGTAATTTCTCCAGAAAAGTTTGCTCACAAGAACTCAGGGTTACAAACAGGGATCACCGTTTTACTTACCTAGCTTGTATCTAATATCATAGCATAACAAAATTAATGTTGCTCTCCTGAGGATTACTACAAGGCTCTACTGTAACGCCTGCCATACTGCCAACCACAGGATTCCCAGCACTGTTTCCTACATACAAGTTCATCTCTGTTTGGATTTCACATAGTTAGAAGACTCTGCTTCCGATCAGATTTTGTACGCGTATTTAAATACGTATACAAATACATAGCTTAATATTTTTGGGTAACAGCATCCACTTCTAACAGCCCAGAACAGTTTGCTAACACTGAAGTCGTTTATTTGATGTCAAGCACAGTGAACAGGTGTGTATCTCTCTTGCACATACCCATACTTCTGTATACTCAGACTCCTTCAGGTATAACAAATAATCACAAAAAATATTTGCGGCTGCATATACATCAGAAAGTATTTAAACTGAACAAACTACTACAAACTTGTACAAAATCCTGGTAAATTCCAACGCATGGGCATAGAGATGAAAAGGGGTACTCACCATGGAAATGTCCGTACTCGTTTTATCAGTGAACGTATCCCCACTGGCACAATCAATTCCAAACAGCGCACATATGTCTCCTGCATAAACTTCATTTACATCCTTAAGAAAGAAAAGTTTACTATTTAGATAAAACTGAAAGATACATTACAAACTAAACCTGGTTTTAAGAAGATATATAAATACTGTGTTGAAAAGCCTGAAGTTAAGCTCTTTTGAAAATGCCAGCTTTGATAAATCTTCTCTCTTTATTCAAAGCACAAAAAGGAGACCTCAGCTTGGATGCTAACTTCTTCTAGAGTAAGGATGTGAAGCAAGCAACATACTATGTTTCAGGCTGTCCTGACCCAGCTATAGCGTTCAGGAATCTTAGACAGGAAAGGGCAGTATTCGCAGCAGTTTGGGAATCAATTTTTAGTTTAAGAACTGTATTCAATAATTACATGGAAGAAGACTTTTCTGTGTATTTTGCCAATCCTATTTCCCCTCTCCCAGAAGTATGGACTGTGGGGCTCATACCACAGCTGGCTTTCTTTAGCTATCACCTCAAAGCCATTTTATAATGCTTCTTGGGCAAAAGACTCTTCCACTTCAGAGGAAGTAATACAGTAGAGACCATTCCACTTTCTTGTAGAGCTCTATTTAGCGGCACAGGCAGGTAGGAATTAACAACAAAAGCAGAAGTTTGATGTATCTCATCGTTCAGAGATAGCTGAAAAGGGAGAAGGTTGTCTAGCCAGAGTGGCTCAAACGGCAGCCCATGGGGACTGTCCTCTCACACCCACCTCCATCTTGTCTGAATGCATACGGACGAGTCTTTGTACACGAACCCTCTTCCCAGTCCGGGTGTTATAGATATAATCAGATTTCTTCAGCATTCCCTGATACACTCGAATGTAAGTTAACTGCCCAAAACGGCCAGCCTGGAATCAAAATTCATTGAAAATCAGATATAATTGTTCTGGGAGTCAAGGCCACTGCTATTCAAAGTATGATCTGCACAGACTGACGAAATCTTTCTGTTTTGAATTTATGCATTAGACATGTCAATGAAGCTTTTTTTGACATAGTCTCAGCTTTCACTTGGCTCTGGAATGGAACTTGGCATCTCCTGGCCATTTTCTTTACTTCTCCAACGTTACCAGTCCGCAGCCTTCCCAACAGAGGCATACGTTAACTAGCAATGTGGCCAGCCACTTTCCATACGAAAATCTGAACTGCTACGCTCAAGGTAGCAAACAACTTGTCTGTGTACTTTTTCCTCTCCAACTCTCTCGTGTTCCATTGTTTTCAACTTCAAACAAAACGGGGATTTTTCTCTGAAAGTATTTCAAATAACAAAACAAACCCCCCATGTTTTAACTAAGAAAATCATGAAGAATTTGAGTCATAATAACCTATCCTCAAACTTCCACATTTGGCAACGTTTGATACATTTGTGGATTTTGTGGTTGGAACTTTTTTTTTTTTTAAAGAAGTTAAATTTAAATTGAATGTAGACAAACCAATTTTAAAATTTGTTCCACACAAGTTTTGGCAGCACCATCTCTTTGGACTCGCTCTGTTCTCTACTCAAATCACTAATAATGAACCTGGATACCTCCTTTCCTCCTTCAGGGTTACTACCACAATGTGAGTACAATTTTTGAAGTCCCTCTGCAGAGGTCAGACACTGGTTAGCATGGGAAGCTTGCAAGCAATTGAATAAAGTCAGCTGGGTAACGTTCCTGGCATCCGTCCTCTAGAAATTTTCAGTTTAGCTTTACCATTTTTTACCAAGTAAAAAAGCAATCCCACGCACAGATAGATACACTGAAAACACAAAGCTCTAGATGTGTGCTTTTCCCCCAGACACGAAAGGCACTCCCCAGGCATCAGTGACAAGCCACCGACAGCTCCGTGCCAGTAGGACTTGCGTACACCAACAACCCTTGCAGGAAATGCCCTGCTTCTCGACTGGTTTTGCTGCATCAGAAAGGCTAACATTAACAGCTTACCTCCAGCTTAAAAGCAAGGCCTATAAAAGGCTGGGAATCGTCTCGAGCAGAGTTCAGCATTGCAGGAACTTGGATTTGTCCTCAGAATCTCTTAAAAACAGGGATGGAGAGGGAGTTTATGTCAGGAAGCAAACACGGCAGGCTCCTCTAAACACGAGCCCAACCCTGTGAAGTCCCAAGGGCCTTTCAGTTTCCCAGGTTTATAACAGAGACTTAAAGATGCACACATTTTTAAGAGGCTCAGAAAGTATCTCAGAGAAACTGCAGCAGATCCCAAAAAGGAGGTCGAAACTATGACAAATATCACTAGCCCTTCGTATCATCCAACTCTTTTGCCATCAAAGCAATTAATCATCCACTCAGACACAACTCAGGAGCAAGTCCAGTTTAGAGTGAAGGCAGAGACATTGCAGTGACTCCTCTGCCAATGCTCGTGAGCCACACAAGAAGTTTTCACCTATCCTAGTAGGCAGGCGTTAGGGGCAGCGAGAAGCACAGCAGCAGTGAGGACTCAGAGAGTCAGCTAACCGCTGGGAGAAAAAGCCATAAACTGTATTTATTAGTATAATTTCTCTTTAGCTATCAATTATATTGTCTGAACCACTCAAACAGATCAAAAAGACCTGACGGCCACCCTTGAGCCAAGACTGGAATGTTAAGGGCTATTTACTGGCTCCAACATTGGGTTTCATGCTTCTTAGTTGTGAAGGCACATCTGCTTCAACAAACATGTCCAAAGAATAAAACAGTTTACACATTTCAGACGTGCTCTCTGGTCTACTGTAGGCATGGTTTTAAAATTGTCATTAATTTCTAAAGAACCATCTCATCAGATAATAATTTTTCAAATTTAACATTTAACGTGTGTTAAAAATAGCAGCATAAACAGTAACCCTCAAATGAGAGGTGAGCTCTCTTCATGTGCAAAATGAGGATGCCATTATTTAATGCAAATGGTAAGTGATCGTGTATTTTTGTAAGCAGTGTTTCCTGCTACCTATTACACTATTTTGAAAGCTGATTCCAAGAGCACTTTGTATGCTCAGGAGTACACTTACCCCTGGTTAAGAATAGCATAGTTCTCAACCTCGGAAGGGTTGGGGAGGTATTCCAGGACAGCATCCAGCAGTGGCTGTACTCCTTTGTTCTTCAAAGCACTTCCCACCAGCACGGGGGTAAAGGACTTCTGCAGTGTTGCTCTTCTGATTGCCAGCTGAAAAATATCAGTGCATTACTCTCCTGCTGCAACAGCTGCAGGAGTCTGACGCAGCACTAACCAAGCAGCAGTCTGGATTCTCTCTCCCTCTTTTTGCTGGTTATCTCTGCTCCTGGATTAACCTAGGTGCTCCCACATAGTCTTCGGTACAACGCCCTACACAAGAGCTTCCCGTAAAACTTGCTCACCAGAATTCTAGAGAGTGTGAGATTTTCTTTCTTCTCCTCTTAAATTCACTTAAAAATTAAAATGGCTAAGACAAATACAATGATAACCCCAAAATGCTCAAGAGAAAGTTTCCTGATTCTCTGCTGGTAAAGGCAGGATTCTTAATTTCTGTTTTAGATGTCTCATTCCCCCTATTTAATTATGTTGGGAAACAAGACACATCTAAATTTGTAAAGTAAGGTGAGACAACTCAGTATCTTTAAGCCACAGAAAACTCTTCTGAAAGAGGAAGTTGGGCAGGGAAGGGATGTTTGGGTAAGTGCCACGCTCAATGAATCATCATTTTTTGATGAAGAAAGTTTGAAAAGTCCAGCAAACGGAGCAACACAAACCGCACGGTAACCTCACGCTTATTCAGTGCCTTTCACCCGCGCAGCACACGACGTTGCAAAGCGTAACTGAGCACCAACAGCTTTCATATTGGTGGACAGATGCTGTTTGCCACCCTCCTGGCCCTGCAATTAATTACTGAAGCCAAGATTGCCACCTCGGCCTCTCTTCTCCCTGCCACTAGAGGATGCCACCTCCCCACGCCTACTGAGGCCCTCACTCCAACCAAGAGCAGCTCCACCTTCTCTGAGAAGCTAAAAGAAATGACTTCTCCTTGCCAGACCAAGACAGCTAACCCCATCATCTAATCCGGGAGCCAGCTAGAGTACCCAAAGACAGACGGTTAAGCTACCTTCACAATTAACAGAGAGAACAGTGGCTCCTTAAATTTGTTGATGTAATGACTTCACAAAAATAACACAAGGAAAAAACCCTACATCAGCAATTCTGCTCATCTAGCCCGCGCCTGCTCTCATCTGCCAGAGCGCTGGAAATACAGCTGTGCTGATGCCTGGTGTTTTTATTTGGCCACATGTTTTCACTTGAAGCAACACGACTGCAATTCATCCTCATCAACAATTACCTTGGGAAAAAACAATTTTATTTTCACAGGAAGATTATTGCCACTGAGTGCCCCACGGCATGCCCGGGGCCCACCAGCTCCTTGCGTGTAGCATTACGGATAGCAGCAAATTAGGTGACGTTTAAGCAGCTGATCTTCAGCAAGCATCATGCGCTGCAACTGTGGCATCCAGGAGTGATCCTTCGCATCATTTCCACAAAAAGGTATTTTCAGTGGAAACCTGGCTGCTGGCCACTGAAAGAAAATCCATCTTCAGGGACATATTAGTACAAATTAACCCACATCTGCAATACTATAGCCATTAGAGCTGTAATTAATTGGCTTTCAGAAGTGGGAAGCAGAGGCATGCTGAATAGACAAATTTCTCTTGGTAGCAGATTTCCTTCCCAGCAGGAGCTGTCAAAAGTAGCTTCCTGCTAAAACTCTCTCACCTTGCAGCAATGCAGGGTATTCGCACCGGTACCATTCCCTCTGCCAGGTGAAGGACAGATCCTTACCAGGCCTCCCAAATCGCTGACAGTTGTGTCTTTATCAAAGCGAGAAGGGCTGCTTTGTAACAGGAATAACTCAGACTTCATAAAATAATATCTAATTACTGGGATGACTAAATGCCTGCTTATCAAGAAGAGAAGCATTGGCTTGGTACTTTCAGAAAAACCCTTGTGCTTTTGTCTCAAGCCGAGTTGGGATACACAGATTCCTGCATGCTCTTCCTAGAGACATTAATCACCCATAACTCACCCAGACAGCCAAACCGATTTAAAAAAAGAACACAACACCTCCAAATGCAAGGTTTGTCGCAAAGTTAAAAGCAATCAAAATTTAGGGGTTAGGAAGAGTCAAGTAAATAAACCTGAAGGGGACTGGCAACACCCATCAGCTTTGAGGGTCCTCCACATCCCAACAGATAGAGCGGGCAACTCAGAGGAACGCGAGCACTGCAAGCCCTACCAGGGGAAGGGCTACTGCACAGAGACAACCAAATACTGAGAAGAGGACTTAAATATCAAAGCTATGTTGAAAGCGGCAACCTCAGTGATCGCGTCTGACTCGAGCTCGGCCAGCCTAGCAGGCTGCACTCAGAGAAGCAGCTCCTGCTTGTAACCTTCATGTCTCAGTTCGGCTTGTCTTCTTCAGCTACCAACTGCAGCACCCGGCTGCAGGCAGAGGAAAGCACAAGGAGACAGCAAATGCCACGTCAGGCAGGCTCCAGTGCAACCACTCAAAGACAGGCTGTTCCGGCTCCAACAGCAGCTCTCTTCGAAAAAGCAGTCTGCCTGCAAGGCTTCTCCCACTGCAACGGGCTCTTCAGACCTCACTTTTTTATTTAAACACGTTCAGCAACTACTGCCTGCCACGACACAAAGCCTAGCAGGCCTCGTGTCAACAGCTACACGTCGCCATCTTGACTTACACACCTACTCCACGGGGCCGTGCGGTGAACACAAACCAGCGTAGCGCTTCTTCTCTACGGGTACGTGTCCTCAGCTTATCTTTACACTCACGGCACAGCAGAAGCAGGTCCACGCGCGCTCTCTCCTGCTCATGCCAGGATAGCCAAGCTTTCGCACCCGTCCTGGCTGAAGCTAATCCCACAGGAACTCAAGAGGCACCGTTAGGCAGCTGCGATCCTTAAAGAAGTTATGGCCAGGCCACGTAACAATCCGCTCTGGCACATGTAGCTTGCCAAGCCTGACATAAAGCAGTCTAAAAGAAGGAATACACGTCGTTAGTCTGCTGTCCAGCCTCCACGGAGCGGCACAAGCCGATCCCACCCCGGAGCCAGCAGTGGCAGGACTTGCACAAAGACTGTACAACACAGCTGATCTTCCTAGGCCTCCCTAACGCCTTTTTATTGCATGGACATGCGCTTGAAGGAACAGCGATACCAAACTGTCACGAGAACGAATAATTTTCAGCCTACAGCCATCTGATTACTTCCGTGAGCATCCCTTTATGCTGGCACGTCTGCCATTTGATACCTGAAGTATTTTTCATAAAATAGATAATGTCTCATTTTTTTCCCTCTTTCAAGAAATGCAATTCTCTTCTTTTTTTTAAAAACTGCATTTTGACCTGGATTCTCCTCTGGAGTCTCCAAGTGAAGTCATTCCAGATCCCTTCTAGCGTGCCACTCTTTTCAGTTCAGATTTAACCAGTGCAAATACAAAATGAGGCAGGGTTTCCTAGGCACAAAGACGACTCACAGCGCACCAACAACGGCCTTGCTGCGGGACACGAAGCAAGTCACAGCCGCCACGCTGTGACACAGGCAAGGCAACAGCATGACAAAGATGACTAGATGTACCTTTGTGCCACTGGCTGCTCCCCAAAGGCCACACACAAGCTCAAACCTTCCAATGCAAACCAAAAACCAAACGTGAAACGGGCCCTCAGCAGGGCGCGGAGTGGGAGTGCCCTGGCAGGAGGTGACACTCATACTGGAGAACTCAAGCAAACAAAATTTCTTCAAGACTTCAGGAATTTTTTAATTGGGGGGGGAGAGGAGGAAGACGGGGACACAAAAGAGCGAGGTAACAGTGCTACGGGAAGAACCACCACAATAAGGTTACCTTTAACTCAGCGGCTGTAGGAATCTTTTCTTCCAAAAACTGCTCCCCAAGTTGATCATCCGAGTTAGCAATGCATTCGATCAACTCCCGACGTCTCTCTGCAGCCTCAGCTCTGAACTCCGCTGGGATTTCATCATACCGAAGAGTCTGGCTACAGAGACATAAATACCATAACCACTCTACAGGAATACCACATCAATCAGCCGTTCCGTCGCTCATCGCTGTGACGCCCCGCCTGACCAGGAAGAATTCACCGTTGACACGGATATGGAACAGAAATCACGTGAGAATATCAACATGTTATCTTTGATGCTTTGGCAGGAGAGGGCTTCTGCCCACTCACGGTAGGAATTTGCAAGGATACAGCACGACCTGTTCAACAACCTCACGCACACCTGATCTGCACCCCAGTAAGCTGGTGCCAAACACACGGTATCAGTTCCCATTACGGAGCAGGTCTCCCATTTCCCAGGGTGGTAAGCGTGGCCACCACCCCTCCACACTCCTGCAGTCAGCAAACAGTTCCTGCTGCAGCCACCCATCACCGAACCTGACCCCGCAGAAGCGTTCTGCTGTCACTGCGAGAGCTGAAGGGCGATACCTCAGCCCGAGCACAAGCCACATCCGTAACTTTTCGAAGAGCAGGCTTTTTCATCTCTGAAGAGGAACTGTTGGTAGCGTCACTCACACAAAGAGTAGCTCCAGCTAACAAACATGCAAGTTTCAAAACTTACCCAAGTTCGCCATCAAAATATATAGCTCTTTCTTCAATAAGATCTATAACTCCTTTAAAGTTTCCCTCCAGCCCAATTGGAATCTGAACAAAAGCTGCATTGTGTTTTAACTTGGATCTGAAAAAGTAAGCAAATGTAAATTAGGTCAAGGAAAAAGTCGTTTCTATATATGTGCTCCAGATGGTCTTCGAACATCATCCCACTCCTACAAAAACACTGTCTCTGTTCCTTGGATAGCACCAAAAATCTACCAATGCTGATAGGAAATGCCCAGTTGCACTTTACCCTGAGTGACTGCCAGCCCTCTGTGTCCCAACAGATACAGCGAGCAGCTTCCATGGGAGAGGCAGCAGAGCAAAGCAGTTCCAGTTAACGGCTTGATTAGGGGAGCTGCTTCTCCCCTGATGCATATTAATGCACGGATCTCACAGACGAAATCAGGCACAGAATGACTGCAGGCAGGGAGCAAGCAGGACTTCTGGTACCCGCACTAGAAACCGCCCAGCCCTGTGTCATCTCCCTGCTGTGAGCTACAGCACGTTTGCTACCAGGATCTAGGAAAAATGTAAAGGCTGTTTTCAAAGTGGCTCCAAATACAGTTCCGCCAACAAAATAAATAATAAAACCACTGCAAGCCTGGGCTGACACTAACTCTTATTTTTCTTGAGAATATGGAGACTTGTTACAGGTCAGGTTAAGATTTAACCTCAACTCAGGTACTATCCTCCAAAGCTGTGACTACAGACCCCACACGAGAATGCTTTTCGATATTCTTAGTATTATATATATGAATACACGAATGCAATGCTATAGGAACCATTCAGAATTATTTCACAAGTAATTTTAAGCGATAAATACCTCAACTGCTGTACTGCTCTGGCTGGACTAGAGCCCAGTCTGTCCAGTTTATTGATGAATGTTAGAAACGGCACACCGTAACGTTTCATTTGCCTGTTCACAGTTATTGTCTGGCACTGCACGCCTCCAACAGCACAGAGAACCAGAACGGCTCCATCAAGAACTCTCAGAGACCTCTCCACTTCAATTGTGAAGTCCACATGTCCTGAGTAACAAAAAAGCCGCCGTTATTCATAGATGATAAAAGGTGATGAGAAATTGCTTGCTCATAGCTGCAGAAAAGAGCAACGGCCAACAGAATCGGTCTCCAGCTACGCAGAAAGAGTCACGTTAGCTCAGTCCGAGTCACCAACGAACACAAAGACGGCACCACGCTCCCTGTGTGCAGGAAGAAACCGCAACCTTCACGCGTTCAGAACCGCTGTTACCTGGTGTGTCGATGATGTTGATGTTGGTGTCCTTCCACATGATGTACGTTGCTGCAGACTGAATTGTGATCCCACGCTGCCGCTCCAGCTCCATTGAATCCATGACAGCCCCGACTCCATCCTTACCTTTCACCTTAGGAAAAAAGAAAAAAAATGTAGTGCAAGGCAGTTTACTCAGCATTCTGCATGTGCAGGAGTGATGCTTTACATACCGAGCATCATCTTTCACGCAGTGAAGAACACCAGACGTGGCAGAACCACTTAAAATTCTTGAACTACAAACAAGCTGGATTGTTTTTGCAGCTGCACCTCCAACTTCAACGTATTTTGCTCTCCTGAGGATCATTCCTGAAACTAGTGACCAGAAACCTGCAGGAAATTCTGCCTCACTGCAAATTTAACAAGCTAACATACCCGATGCTAAAAATGACATCCCTATCGTCTCTGTTTCTCTCAGTCACCTTTGACTACATCAAAAGAAACATTTATCTTCCATTGCATATTCACCATGGAGATGGTAAGGGAGAAGTCAGTCTTAAAATAAGACTGCACCCACGAGTGCTGAGGGAGCTGGCAGATGTCATTGCTGAGCCACTCTCCATCATCTTCGAAAGGTCCTGGAGGACAGGAGAGGTGCCCGAGGACTGGAGAAAAGCCAGTGTCACTCCAGTCTTCAAAAAGGGCAAGAAGGAAGACCCAGGGAACTACAGGCC